AGGCAGACCTCTCCTGGGCTCTGAAGGCCCCAAAGGGAGGGTCCATAGATCTAGAATGTTCCCAGGTACTCAAATGGCTGATGGGAACATGGTCCTCTTTTCCTCTTGGCATTTCTATGTTTCCCTCACCAAAAAATGGCATAGGCCACAGGGCACAGGGCATGGGGCAGCTGGGCTCCACAAAGGAAAGGGAGAGAGTTGAGGAGAAATCCAGGTGTGGGGGGCAGCTAGGTGGCGCTGTGGATAGAGCCCTGAAGTCAGGAGGACCTGAGTTCAAATGCGGCCTCAGACCAAACACTTGACACTTACTAGCTGTGTGACCCTGGGCAAGTCACTCAACCCCAACTGCCTAAGCAAAAAAAAAAAAAGAAATCCTGGTGTGGGCTCCAGTTGTCTGGTGGTTGAGGTTGTTCCCTGCCCAGATGGCTGGGGGCTTTGGGAGCTCAAAGGTGGAAACTTCTCCCTGCAGCCCCTTCAAGAGGGCCCCGCTCTAGCCCCTATCGTCGCTCCACGATCTGCCCCAGATGAAAGCAGAGCCTGGTGGACATTCCCCAACTTCACCTGCAGAAGACGGGAGCAAAGGGAGAAAAAGCTGAAATATCGCAGAGGCTGGCCTTGCAGGGTAGACGGGGGTGGGAGGAGATGTCCTTTCCACCGCAGAAAAGATCTGTAGTGAGCCACTGTAGTGCAGTTGGGAAGAGCGGTCTGGGAGTCATCTGCGGCTGATCTTTAAGGCTCTGGTTGGGCCCTCTGTGCTTGAGCTGCCCAGTCCTGTGTGGGACGGCAGTGAGCAATCTTTTCTTAGGGGAAGCCAGCAGAAGATCAACAAACCAGGAGAGGTGTTAGCAAAGATTAGGGCAGCTCAGCCACTTCGTGATGGTGGAAGAGGCAGACAGACCTCAGGCACTACCTGAAGACATGACGTGTGCTCCTGCTGGGCTAGGTGCCCTCAAGCCCTGTCGCTAGCCCTCTTGGGGCCTCTTCTGTAACAGGAGCTGGTTGAGAGCTACAAAGGACCCTTGGGGTTATCCAGGTCCTTATTTTACTGAGGGGGAAACTGAGGACGAGGTCCAGAGAGGTCGGTTGAATGATTTGCCCAAGGCTGCTAGGAGCACAGCCTGGATGCTCCCTCCCATGAGCCTCTAGCTTCTCCTGGGATTCTTTTTTCAGAGTAGGTACTTAATAAATGCCTGCCCTTACACAACCTCTGGGACAAAATGCTTTCCTCTTCTTTTTAAATTGCATTTGGAACCTGGCCAGCTTGGGGCAAGAGTTTTCTATCCTTGTAAGAGGAAATGTTATGCACATTAAAATCACTTTGCACAAAGTCTGTAAGTCAGTCAAAAGAAAAACTGGGTATTGCTGGGAATTGGGGTCACTGGGGAATGAATGAATGAATGAAGCATTTGCTGTGCCAATCACCTGGGCTAAGCCAGGCCATCCTTGCTCCTGTTCTAATGAGGGTGATAACACACACACAGGGAAGGTTTCAGCTGCTGCAGCCACTGTGTGTTGAGCTCCTGGACCTTCATATAAGACCCTGCATCAGTTCCCACAAATCTTCCCACAGTTCTCTGAATTCTGCAGATGATTTTTTGTTTCAGGATTTGGTCCAAACCTTCACCATGGGCAATAGCTTAGGAAAGCCAAGGATGCCCCAGCGAGTTCTAGCCATCTCTCAGGAGAGCAGATGGGTCAAGGGAAGATGCAGTGACTGAAGGCTCTGGGATCAGTTTTGAACAGGGGAGAGCAGACTCTTGGATCTATAACCTAAATGAGCGAAGGAGGTCTCCTCCATTCATTCATTCATTCATTCATTCATTCATTCATTCATTCATAAGCATATGAATGAATAAGGCATGTGCCAAGGCACTGTGCTCAGCACTGGGGGTACAAAGAATCAATGAAAACCAGCCTGGTATCTTCAAGGGGCTTTACTGGGGGGACGGGGACTTGGCTTGCGACATTGAGATAGGTGGATACACATGTTCCCTTTACATACAGTGAGGAGGGACCTTGGGAGAGGCTTCTTGGAGTGGCCAATAACAATGGGCATTAATAAGAGCTGACCTTCCTCCAGCGCTGGGAGGGGAGGCAGACCTACCTCTGTGTGCTTCTGGGTCTCCCTTGAGCCTCACGAACACCCTGGGGAGCAGGGAGGGAATGGGGCAGGCGTTTATTAAGTACCTGTTCTGTGCCAGGCGCCGTGCTAAGTGCTTTACAAATATGATCTTAGTTGATCCTTGAAGCAACCCTGAAAGATAGGTGCTGTTATTATTACCTCTATTTTACAGATGAAGAAACTGAGGCAAACAGAGGTTAAGTGACTTGTTCAGGGTCACCCAGATCATAAGTGAGACTGGATTTGAACTCAGGTGTTTCTGATTCCAGGCCCAGCACTCTGTGGCCAGCAGCATCCCCCAGCTGCCTCAAAGGCCATTTTTTGGTGAGGGAAACATAGAAATGCCAAGAGGAAAAGAGGACCATGTTCCCATCAGCCATTTGAGTACCTGGGAACATTCTAGATCTAGAGCTGGTAAAGGCCCCTTTGGGGCCTTCAGAGCCCAGGAGAGGTCTGCCTGTAGCCTTCCATAAATGCCTCTGCCGTGACCCGCCATCAACCCTGCCGAAGGGCTTCCTGGTGTCCCTGTGGCAGACTGTGGCTGCCTTCCCTGCAGCATCACTGACCTTGGCCTGTGAAAGACACTTTGGGCAACTCTAAAATCAACTTCCTGGAATACCCTGCAGGCCTTTGAGCTCTGCCAGGAGAGTCAGGCCCACACTCAGGACAGTTACAGAGCATCTTTCTTGCCTCACATAGCCCTCACTTCATTCATATCCTGCTGCTTGGCACATGGTACGAACAGTATTATACTCATTTTCCAGGTGAAGCAACTGAGGCCCATGTGCCCAGAATCACATTGCTAGTAAGTGTCAGCCCAGATTTAAGCCCAACCCTTTGTTCTCCCCACTCTGCTAATGTGGCTTTTCCTTTGACTCACTCTTGAATGGGCTGACCCTTGGGTGGGCTGGCAGGATGGATGGTACTTAGTCACCCAAGGCAGAGGTTGTGGTTTAGATGTGTGTGGCAGAAAGAGCCTGAAACTGGAATCAGAAGGTCTGAGTTCAAACCTAGACTCTGCCACTTACTACCTGCATGACTTTGGGTAAGTCATAGAATTCCCCTGGGCCTCAGTTTCCTCATCTGAAAAATTATGTAGTTGACCTCAGTGACTTCGAAGGTCCCTTCCAGATCTAACGCTGTGACCTTCTTAAGTGAGTCGAGCCATGACAGACAACCAGAAGTGATGGCCTGGCAGGAAGGAGAAGAATCCCGTGTCTGCCTGCCTCCAGGCCTCCAGTGAGTGGGAGGGAACTCACTACTTCCTGAGGCACTTTTCCTTCTAATGGATCTTCTGCCCATTGGCCCTAGTCCTCCCAGCAACTGGCCCCTTGTAAAAACTAAATGTAGAGAGAGATGTGTATTAATAGATCTATTTCCATCTCTCACCTATCTGTCCATCTATCAGTCTGTCTATATCCATCTGTCTATCTCTGTCTTTATCTATCTATCCATCTGTCTATCTCTTGAGACATCCATCCATATCTGTCCATCTACCTGTCTGTCTCTATCATCCATCCAACTATCTATCCATCTGTCTATATCCATTCATCCCTATCATCCATCCATCCATTTATCCCTCTATATGTCTATATCAGTCTCCCTACCATCTATCTCTAACCATCTAGCCATCCATCTCTCTCTCTCTCTCTCTCTCTCTCTCCTCTCTCCATCTATCCTACCTCTTTCATCCTTCATGGTCTTTCTGTAGTATTTGACATCACTGCCCACTCTTCTTCCTGGACACTTTCTCTTCTCTGTCTTCCTACCTATCTGATCACTCCTTCTCAAGTCCTCATTAATGACCCATCATTCCTATCTCCTAGTCTCTGTCTTGGGACCTCATTTCTTTCTCTATCTTGATGACCTAATCAGTTCCCATGGGTTTAACTATCCTTTCTATGCAGATGATGTCCACATATATCCAGATATATCTATTCTGGCCTCACGTTTCTCCTGACCTCTGGCCCCACATTGCCAAGTAACCATTGGACAGTCTAAACTGGATGTCCTAGGGCAGCTAGGGGGCGCTGCAGTGGATAGAGCACTGGCCCTGGAGTCAGGAGGACCTGAGTTCAAATGCGGCCTCAGACACTAGCTGTGTGACCCTGGGCAAGTCACTTAACCCCATTGCCTAGCCAAAAAAAAAAAAAAATAAACTGGGTGTCCCCAAAACATCTTAAACTCATTGTGTGAAGGACATCTCACTCTTCCCCAGCCCCTCCCCACCAACTTCTCTGATTACTGTTGTTGCTTTTTTTTTACTTTCTTAACACCTATCCCATCTGTCCCCTCCTCTGTACTCCCAGCCCTATTGCCTGGTCACCTCTTGCCGAGACTACAGCAATGGCCTCCTCATTGTCTCCTTGCCTCTAGTCTTTCCCTATTTCCTTCTCCAACCCATCCTCTGGATGACTAGCAAATCAGTTTTCCTAAAGCCCACATTTGACTCACTTAACAAATTCCACGGGCTTCTTATTACCTCTGATTAACTATAAACTCTTCTGTGGTGTCTTCTCTGGCCTCCCTTCACAGCCTCATTCCCTTCTCTCCCCACTCCCTCCCCTGCCTGCTGTGTCCCATGTCCCACCTCCACACCTTTGCACTCAGGCTGCCCCTTACCCTTGGAATGCACATTATTTCTTTCAGGTATACCAGCTTTTGCATGAAACCTTTCCTGAGCCCCTCAGCTGCTAGCATTGTCCTTCCCAAACTGCCTTATGTTTATTTTGTATTTAATCTGTATGTACAGAGGCAGTGTGGAATAGTGGGGAGCCAGCTGACTTTAGAGCCAGGAAGCCCAGGGTTTGAGTCTTGCCTCTGAAACACACTGGCTGTGGGACCCTGGGCAAGTAATTTAGCTCTCTTTGCTCTACAGGACCATTTGCTACCATGTAGGAGCTGCCCCCTGGATGGCCTCTTTGAGGAAACCTCCCAGCCTTAGATGCAGACCTGTTCTCTCTGGATGGAATGGAAGCTCCCTGAGTACTGAGCCTGTGCCTTTGGATTCCCAGGGCTTGAGTGCAGTGCTTGGCCCAGAGTACGTGTTGTGTGTTGTTCAGCTGTGTCTGACTCTCGGTGACCCCATCTGGGATTTTCTTGGCAAAGATAATGGAGGGGTTTGCCATTTCCTTCTCCAGCTCATATTACAGATGAGGAAACTGAGGCAAGCAGGGTGAAGTGACTTGCCCAGGGTCACAGAGCTAGCCAGTGTCTGAGGGCAGACTGGAACTCAGGTCTTCCTGACTCCAGACCCAGTCCTCTATCCTGTGCAGCATCACCTAGCTGCCCCTCCAGGCTCACAGTAGTAGATGCTTAATAAATGCACGCTGATTATTTGATCCAAAGGTGCAAATGTCTTGGGGTTTGTGGGCTGGAGTCCAGAAGGCTGAGGCTCAAATGTGGCCTCTGACAATTATACCTCCATACAAGCTGGGTTAGCCTGGGTAAGTCCCTTAACCTCTCAGAATAAGCCCTTCCTTACAGGCTCATGTCTGGAAAGGGCTCAGAAAATGTCACATGGTATAATTGGGATCTAGGCAGGGAGACAGAAGGAGCCCTGCCCACCCGCCTGCCCGCTACGCTACGCTGACTAGTTGTCCAGACATGAGAATAATCATCTCTGGCATCCTTGTTCCTCCAAATGGGGTGGGGGTGGGGGAGTATCCGGACAGGAATCATCACTTTAGGCCTCCAGAGGAAAAGCAACTCCATGGGAAACGCCAGGGGCTCGGACCACAGGTGCTCTGTCCATTCTTCCCACTCCACAGCCCGTCTCAGACATCGAGAAGTTTCCATTCCAAACAAGGCAAGACAAGACCATGGCTGGCTCCCAGAGTTCCAATCACAGGCTTCTGAGAGATAGCAGGGAAGGTGGGTAGTGCTCCCTGTCCTGGAGAAGGGGGCGCCCAGATCTCGCCTCCATTTCCGAAAGGCCTGAGCCCTAGATAAGGGGTTCTCACCAACCAGTCCCTCCTTCTCTGTGCCAAAGGGGTAGACGGGAGGGGGCTAATCGAATGTTACCACTCCACACCAGGGCCCCCTCATTCAAGCAGAGATGCTCCAGTGCCCTAAGGCAGCCTTCCACAGGGTGTGTGGGGTGGGGGGAGGGGATGGGAGGGGCCTGCCACCAATGGGATCCCTGCAGACAGACAGCCCCTCTTCTCCACTCTCCCACCGCTTCCAGGGGGTGCTAGGGGGGAGGCTGGCTCTGGGTCCTGACAAACCATCCCCATTGAGTGTCCTGGCCCCTCCCCTCCAACCCCATCCCAGCCTGGCTGGGGGTGACGGGCCCCTGCCAATACGATGGCTGTGTGATGTCCTTCTGCTCAGCCTGGCTCAGCCCCTCACCTGCATCTGATAAAATGCGTGTTCCCGGTTCCGTATTTCACCTAAATACCTAAGATCATTCTGGTCTCGGAACAGGGCTGTCTTTTGTCCCTCCCACATCTTGAGAACATATCCTGTGTTATAAAGAAGATATTCTGCAGGAAACGACCGCAGAACGCTTTCTCTATCAGTGACGACATCGTCACGATAGGACCCGACAGCTTGCTTTCTTCTTCTCCTGTGGTTTTTTTGCTGTTTCTGTCTGGCCCCTCTGGGTTTGACAGGCCTGGTCTTCTCCCTTTTCCCAGTGGGCAGTGGGGAGGGGTTTGCTGCTCACAGCTGTGAAGTGTATCTGACTGCAGTTTCAGGCCTCTAGCTGTGTCCTTGAAGGCAGAGTCAGAGGCGGTAATTCACCCATGGGAGACTGGGGCAGAAGGCTAGGCTTTGTCCCTACGCCTTATGTGTGCTTTTTTGGTCATTTGTCTGGGGAAGTTTGTCTCAAGGCCTCAATGGGCCAGTCTAGACAAGGCCTGTATGGAGACAGTTGCTAGCTTCCTTTCCCTCAGGCTTCTCCCGAGGTAGGCCAAGGGCCCATGGAAAGTCAGGAGGCTCCCACCTGAAAGCTCGGTGGGGACCTCACTGCCTCCAGGGCCACCCGCCATTCTACCGCTACTCCCCGTTTGCTCCAGTCCCTTCCCCAAGCAGCGCTCTCCTCCCTCCATAGATAGGCCTTTTGAGGACTAGTTTTGTTGTTGTCTGGTCATTTTTTCAGTCGTGTCTGACTCTCTGTGACCCCATTTGGGGCTTTCTTGGCAGAGATACTGGAGTGGTTGGCCATTTCCTTCTCCAGCTCATTTTACAGATGAGGAAACTGAGGCAGACAGGGTGAAGTGACTTGCCCAGGGTCACACAGCTAGGAAGTGTCTGAGGCCGGATTTGCACTCGGGTCTTCCTGACTCCAGGCCCGGTGCTCTATCCACTGTGCCACCAAGCTGCCCTAGAGGGCCAGACCTGTGTTTTATGGGGCAGTAGGGTTGGGCAGAAGGGAGGAAGCCTAAGGCTTGTAGGGGGTTTAAGGAGAGCTGAGTGGGACTCCCTCCCTTTACCACTGTACGACCATAGAAAAGTCACTTGTGTTATCTGAGCCTCCCTTGCCCTTCACCACTAGTCAGTTCCACCAGAGTTCATTGAGTCCTTACTATGTGTCGGCTCCATGCTCAGTGCTGGGCCCTTGGCTAAATGACCTCTCACAATCCCTTCCCTTCTCTGTGTTTGTGAGCATTAGCCTCTCTGGGTCTCTGTCTTCTCTTCTGCAAAATGGGCACATTGGACCAGGCAACCATTGGTCCCCTGAAGCACATGCCACCATTCCCATAGGTTGGGAGTGGCTCATTGACGATCTTTTCTTGCTTCCCTGGACAGTCTGGTCTAGTCAGAGCAATTTTGACACACTCAGTAGCATGATGGGAGAGATAAGGCAGTGCTAGCTCTGGAAACAGGAAGATGTGGGTGGGATTCCTCCTCTACCCCTTTCCAGCTGTGTGACCTTGGGCAAGTCAAGTCCCCTCTCTGAGCCTCAGTTTACTCATTTTTAAGATGAGAATGATAATACTTATAGTCCCTCCCTCCCAGGGCTCGTGTGTATCATCTCAATTCCAGCTGCTGCTGAATGCCTGATCGAACATTCTTCTAGACCCCACCAAGAAACTGAGCCATTGCCTACAGCAGAATGCTCAGTGTCTGCAGCTCAGTGTCCCTGTGATCCTCCTGGTGGAAGCTGGGCCTTCTTAGGATGGGGGAGAAGTGAGCCCCAGGCATTCCATCAGAAATGTGACAGGCTCCCCATTCCCACCCACACCAGGCGGCCAGCCCAGCCCAGCCAGGGCTTTCTGACTGTCAGTGACAGCACAAAAGGCCTGGACATGGGGTCACCCTGAGGGAGGAGCATTATTTCCAGAGAGAGGTGATTTTCACCAGAATGGCGAGCGCACACACCGTTTGGGTTCCCAGTCCTGTGGGTCCCTTTCCCAATTTTGGCCTGCCTTAGTTTCTTCGTCTCTCCCTCGAGGGGCTTGGCTAGCTGGCCTCAGGCTCTTGAGTCCCTTCTGGCTCTGAGATTCTTCTAGGGGAGGGAGGCTAGGGCTCAGACTCAACAGGGAACCTGGAACTCAGGTAGCAAGCATGTCGGAGGGCAGGGTTAGCCTGGTTCTGCTTGGCTCCAGAAGGCAGAGCCAGGAGCAATGGGGGTGAATGACTGGACCTTGGGAAACTGACTAACCCTGAGAGCAGAAGGGGTTCCTGGGGGACCGGGTGACCACTTGGGGACCGGGTGACCACTTGGGGACCATGATTGAAGCAGCAACAGCTGTGGGCAGGGAGGGAGAGACAGAGAGAAGGAGGGAAGGAAGGAAGGAAGAAATGGAGGGAGGGAGGCTGATGGGGAGGGACAGAAAAGAGGGAGAGAGGCTGGGAGGGAAGGAAGGAATGAAGGGTCAGGCGGTGTGGAGGAAAGGAAGGAGCTGACTGGTGGTGATTAAGGAGAAGGAGCAGGCGTGTATAGGAGTTGTGTGTGATAAGCTTGTGGGGGTGGGGGTGGTCTGTGTGCTTGGTATTTAAGTACGCTATGTGTGATATTTCTGAGACGTGTATGTATATGTGGTGGGGATGTTTGTATGGTGGGTAGATGTGTGGGATGTGTATGTATGTGATATGTACGTGTTGAGAATATACATGTAGCATGCAGTATGTGTGTGGGTGTTGTATGTGAATGTGGTGTGGATATGTGCACGGTGTGGATGTGTTCATAGTGCAGATGTGTATATGGTGTGTATACATGTGGGGTATGAGGTGAGTATGTATGCATGGCATATGTATGAGTGTGGTATGGTTGTGGAATTACATGTGTGTGTATGTGTGGGGTATATGTATGGTGTGTGGTATGTGGAGGATTGTGGTATGTACATGTATGGTGTGAGCAACGCATATGTGTGAACTATACACGTGTGGTGCGTACACACGAGGTGTGCCTATGTATATAGTATGGTATATGTATTTATGTGTGAAGTATATGTTTGTGTGGTGTGCTATGTATGTACATGTGGTATGTTTGTGGTGGGATGTGTGTGTGTGGTATGTATGTTTATGTATTTATTGTGTCAATGGTATGTGGGTTATATTTCTGTGAGTGGTGTGGTGTGTGCATGCTGGTATATGTATGTATATGTGGTGTGTTTGTGGTTGTCAGGGTGTATGTATGTGGTGTTTGTGAGTGTAATATGGTGTGTGTGTATGTATGTGTGTGGAATCTGAAGTGAGTATATGCATGTGGTCTGTGAGTGGTATGATGTTCAAATATGTGTATGGTATGTGTGTGATGATACTAAATGTATGTATATGCATGTGGTCTGATATACAAATGTGTGTGGTATGTGTGATGATACCATGTACGTGTGTGGGATGTGTAAATGTGTGTGGTATTTGAGACTAGTGTTGTGTATATATATGTACGTGTGTGGTATGTATATGGCTATATGGGTTGTGTATCTGTGAATGGTGTGTGTGTGGTGTGTATGCGAATGTAGTATGGTGTGCCTATGGATGTGTTTGGCATACAAGTGTGTT